AAGTGCGGTCGTCACTAGTTTTTTACCTCGTTAAGAGGTGTTTTTATTTGATTTCTTTTTATAGCAAAACCGGGAACTTTAAATTTCAAGTCCAAGAGAACCGTGGCCGACCGCGAAGTTCTTTTTGCACGTAAATTCATAAGAAATCGCGGTCCATCGGAGATAATTTTTTCGCGAATTTCGGGGGTGAGTCCGCTAATATATAGTATTACCGCGATTTTTTTTCTGAGTGTACGATCTGAAAGTCAATAACTATTTTACAGACGCTTTCACTGTGGACAAGATCCGTACCATTTTTATGGCCAGGGGGGAAATCCTCCCACTAAGCTACATCCCAAACGTGACAGCGAGCGATACTGTGTGCCCGATCTGTAATATGAGGGAGCAGGAAAACATCGTGCGGTTTATGCATTTTGCATTTTGGTATGGCTCAGCTGCAACCGCGTGCTGTATACGATTTGCTGAATGGGCAGTGCTGGTCAACTCTCTACAACTACATCAACCAGGCTCTGCAGTACCGTCATAATATTGTAATGGAAATCTTTTAAATACAAAATTTTATATTTCAAACACGAAACTTAGCTCTCCTAGGTGTCAAACTGATTGGTGGAACGATCTGATATCTGGGGAACCCCCGGAAAAAACACAGGGCGGCAACACAACTACTATTTTCACCGCCGCGTATGCTTTTATGTTTTTTGACTATGTTTTCTAGAATTTGTTTCACCCTTAAAAAAATCCTAAAATTATTCTAAGTATGGGATTTGAAAGATAAACCATGCATCCATTTGCCTTTGAGAGCTTCGCAAAGTTGGCCAATTTCAGCATTTTTCGAACTTTGAGGTTCTTTTGCTAAGAATCCTTGCGTCGGGGAACTTTTTGGAAAACGCAGTTTAACTTCGGAATTTGTAACGAATTCAAAAATATAGCATCCATCGAGGTAAATTTAAAAAACAGTAAAAATGCTGAACAGTGTTCTTAATATTAAAAAAAAACTAAAAACATTGGCTTTCTAATGTCACAGCTTATTTCGTGCAAAACTTTTAATTTATTATTACATGAAAATTATAGCTATACATTTTTTATTTCTACATTGCACACTGGGCCAGAAAGATAATTTTTAGGCCAAAAATCTGTAATTTCTTTCCAAGGACAGTTAGAAGGATGCAGTTTTTTGCGTTTTTTTCTTAAAAGATTGAACTTTCTAACGAACTAAAAGTAATATTTCTTGGAATTTTATAACTAAAACTAAACTAAAACTATAACTATAACTAAAACTATAACTACAAACTAAAAAAAATTAACATTACTAAAAAATAGAATGTCGTTTAAGATTTATGAACCGTTAAAAACTGAAACTTTCGGAGGCTCCCACATCAACGTTTATCAAACAATCGATTTAAAAAAATTTCTTTTTTATTTTCTTCTTTTCTCTTAAGATATTTATAATCAAATTATTAAAAAATATTTGTTTTAAAAATATGGTTTTTTAATTTAAGGTCATAACAAATGCATGCTACATTTATATTTGCATAGTCCAGATTAGTTATAATTTAGTTCTCATCTGAAAAAAGTAGAAAAAGTAGAAGTAGAAGAACGTACGAGAAATTCTGCATACCTTTGGGCATACTTAAGTCCTCCATTAAATCCCTTAAGCCCTTTACCGGGGGTTTCGCCTCTGCGCTGAATTTTTCCTGTTTAATAGTTTCCGGATCTTAACTATATAGTTTTTGAAAATACCATGATCGATTAGTGTACGTAAAAAGTAGATTTAAGATGTTAGTCACACTAAAATCAAATTTTGGCCCGCAAAATGTTCACTAAAACCTGACGAAAAAAAAATACGGCTTACTTTTGGACTCTCTTAGCAAAGCTCATCAAAATAGCTCGCATCGAGTCGGCGGGCTACGCTTTTAGTAAATTGATCAACGAATTTTTTTTTTAAGGAATGAACTAATTTGGGGATGGCACCCAAAGGCACTTGAAAAGCAACGCACTCATTTGGTAAAAAAAAGCCGTAAAAATCAACAAATACATTTCTTTTAGGAAACAAGTAAGACATAAGACCTATATTATATTTTTTATTTGTTGAAAGTAATTACATATACAATTTCTGTGAAGAGTCGAACAGCTACATCAGGGTCTTTGACTTCAAGATTTTTTTTAAATTCCATCAATATTTGATGAACTTCCCACTTTGAAATTACGGTAAAAAAAAACTACTTGCCTGAATTCTTTTAAACTTTGGCATAAATTAGTTTAATATATTATGAAAAGGAATTCAAACTTAATTAGGTAATTTTCTTTAAAAAAAAAAACGTATTTTTGTCCAAAAATTGGATCGGCTGGCCCAGCGTGCATTGTAGAGTCTTTTATTTAAAATTTTTTTGGAATTTTAATTATGTAAATAGGGGAGTGTAGGGTAAGGTGGCGAACGATTCGTTTTTTGAATGTAACTTTTATAAAAATCAATATTTTTTAAAAGTGTAAAAGCAGAAAGTTGCTTACATCTACTGAGCATACTTTTGTAAAATTGGGATTCGAAATTCCAACGGACCTGAATCCTACAGCATTTTGTGTGAACCATACTTTTTTAGCACTTTCAAAAGTTGTAGGGTAATGTGACGAACGATTTGTTTTTTAATGTAACTTTCCCAAAAAGCAATATTTTTTAAAAGTATAAAAGCAGAAAGTTGCTTACATCTACTGAGCATATTTCTGTAAAAGTACGATTTGAAATTCCATCGGAGTTAAATCCCACAGCTTTTGGCGTGAGACATCCTTTCCAACTAATGGCACAACTAAAAACAATACAAAACTACAACAAAACTGCAGCATTTAATGTTATCTGGTAATATTATAGTTTTCTACACAAAATCAACGATAACAATTAAAATTCTTAAATAAAAAAAAATTTGTCACCATACAATATAAAATGTTCGTCACAATGCACCACAAGGTACATTTGGAGCAAAAACGGTGTCACTCTCAAACGGCGCAAATTTAAAAAACTCCAAGTACCAAAACCTGTTGATAAAGATCTCATTTATACGTGTATGTATTTATTTGATTTTATTTTCAACACATCTTCACTCTGCACTATGGGGTATTTGACCTGTTTTTTTTTGGCATTAATTAATAAGTCCAAAACAAAGCAACTTTTTTGAGTTTGGTTTTTTTAAATATGTTTATAATAATTAAATACATCTTTTTGAACAAAAATTAAACACTATAATAAATTTATTCAAAAAAAAAAAAAAATTTTTTTCTTAAACCTACAAAAAAAATTTTTTTTTATGGTTTCTAATAATGAAGAAACATATTAAAACAAACAAAAAAACATTTTTTTGAAAACTTTCTTCTTTAAAGAGATATGGACTTTTTCCTGTAAAATCCGACATTTTTGTATGCCAAATACTGGATATGCCGTATAAAAAAATATTTTCCATGAAAATAAGACGCGGAATGTTTTTAAATCAAATGTAATGTTATGGCGAAGACTTTTGCATTAAATTTATTTAACATTTCATCTTACAAATCAAGAAGAAGACAAATAAAGTGTTAATTGGACCATTTTTGGCAGTGCCGTAAAAACTGAATTTCTCTTAAAGTCGCAAAAAGTGCACATTAAGACTGGATGTCCCGAATCGAGAATTGACCCCCTTTAAAATGATTCAACCCACAGGCTCAACAAATTTCAACATTTCTTCTAATCTCTATTCCAAGTTGAACTTTCTTTTTCCAAACCTTTAAGAGAGACTACTTGGTATATGAAGCCATTGCTACAAATACACTCACGAAATAAGCATCACAGTAGTATTTACAAGAAGTAAAGACAGTTTTAATGAATATCCATTTCAAGTTTTATGGTTCTACGTCTTGTCGTTAAAGAGATATTAATTTATATATGCACTGCAAAATCAAGCAAAGTATGAACACTTTGTGTTCGCTTGCTGCGCCTGACTTTAACAGCTCTTATTTTAACATTGGACTGTTAACTTTACATTTGCGGTATGTAACATTTCATTTTGATCTATTCTTAATACGTTTCCAATAATGTTTCAAAAATTTAAATACTTGTAAAAAACACATTTATGCCAAAAAAAACAGGTCGAATGCCCCATAGTGCTCTGGCACTGCTGAAACAAAAATAAATTGAAAAGGTTTGCTAATTTGCGGACCACCTTTTTAGAAAAAAAAAAAACCTTACGAATAAATTACGGGACTTCTTATTCCTGTACATACATTGTCGACACGATAAGGGGAGGCGACTACATTTATTTGAAATTTTTGTCGTGACGTCATATGTGAGGTTTGACGAGTTCGTCACATTACCCTACACTCCCCTACACTTAAAAAAAAAGTTACATAAAGTTTGAAACCCATACTGTTAAATGTGCTTTACATTTTTGATAATTTTAATTATTTTCCGGTTCAGATACTATTGTACAGGATGCATTTTGGGCCTATTTGTACCACTTAATTCATTCGTAAGAAGCGTTTGATATTGGTAATTGAGAACTGGGTTCTTGCTAAATAAATTCTGCAAATTTGGGATACATTTTTCGATATTTTTAATACGAAAATATACATTTCATTGACAAGAAGAAGAAGAGTGAAACTGTGTGTCTCATATCAAGACACCCGCACCATTAAAAACACAAACTTACGGACAAACGACGACGCACGGCTCACTGACCTCAGAACCATGAATCCGTTTGCCTCTGAGACCTCCGGAAAGTTGGCTAATATCAGCATTTTTTGATATTTGAGGTCCTTGTGCTAAGAATCCTTGCGTCGGGGAACTTTTTGGAAAACGCAGTTTAACTCAGGAATTCATTACAAATTCAAAAATATAGCATCCATCGAGGTAAATTTTAGATGTTGCATAGTGTTATTATTGGTAGAAATCGGATAAAAAACGCATCTTCATATTTAAATAATAAAAATAAAATACATCAAAATGTTATATAATTTATCTTTTTAATTATTCTTTATAGAACCTGAAAAATCAAATAATGACTACAAATCTTTGGGTTGAGCAGGTAAGTAATGTATTGTTTTAAATGAAATTTTTGGTGTACAATTTAACTCGTTTTCGTAAGTCAAATTTGGTACTCTGATTTGAGCTTAAAATTTTTTATAGGTGCAAATAAAAAGAGTGTAATAAAGGGAACAAGAGAGAACGCTATAGTCAGGTGCCCCAACTATTAGATACCCGTCACTCTGCTTAAGGGAATACGAGAGAGATGGAGATATAAAACTTTGATCGCGCATAACTTTTTAACGAATGGTCCGATTTAAAAAATTTCGATAGGTATTGATAAACACAATAAAACTGCATTACTTTACTTTTCCGAAATCTTTAAAGGTGTGGGCGCTAGACGCCTTTTAAAATCGTTTTAGGGCGATCGTGGGCGTTAAAGGGGGCGTGGCGCTCGGCTAAAACAAACTTCCTACGCGCTGCGTATCGATGGTCTTGCAGCTCTAATATATAGGGTCCTTTAACTCTATGAGTAACGGGAATAAGAAATAGGGGAGAAGGGGGCACTAATAGGAGGAAAAGTTTGTTTAGACATAGCAGTTATAATTGAAGAGCCATTGGAATGCGACTGGTATTACCGGAAAGGCTGTTCTTTTGGCTATAACTTTTTCCTTTATTATTTTGAAGTCAATTGCAAAGCCTTCGAGGAGCGTTGCAAAATATCAATATACTTTTTAAACTGTTCTAGCCAGGGATTGCAAGTAAGAATTACTTTTTTAAAAAAATTGACAAATAAGTCTTATTTTTCAATTTTTATTATAAAAGTTGACAAATAACTCTTATGCTTCAATTTTTATTATAAAAATCAACAAATATTTGTCAACTTTTATAATAAAAATTGAATTGAAATAACTCTTGAACTGTCGGGTACATTGGTTTAAAATTTATATATGTATAATCTACGCTTTAATACCTTTCTGTTGATATGCCATATGTCCCCAAAATATTTTTGATGATGTAAAAAATATTATTATTATAAAAAATATGTTGGGGACATATGGCAGATCAACAGAAAGGTATTAAAGCGTAGATTATACATATATAAAGGGCATAGGGGAACAAGCCTGGGAAAACTGCCCCAGGCGATATTGCAAAATTTTAGATGAGAATTGGTAGATAGGTACCTAATCGATAAGAATTCCAATTTTCAAATATTTTGATCCTCTGGTTTACGAGTAATCTGCCGCAACTAAAGAACATATCACTTGATGTATCTTCCCTTTGGTGGTTCTTGAGAAAACTTTTTTAATACCAATATTTTTTGTGTTAACCTTTAAGAATGTCAGCCAATCTTTGGATTTTTACCATTCTTATAAGCTACCAAAAATCGCGATTCAAATTTAAAAAAAAATGGTTCAAGACTTTCCAAGTCTGACAACACCACCAGTTTTTTACAGTTTGTGTGTCCTATAACCATCTACTTCATATAAAATATTCATAATTTTTAGAGTGGTGCAACAGTGTTAAACAAACAAAAAACTGAAGAATTTATTTCTGGAAGGGTAGGAATAGAGTCAATAAAATATATTTGGCTTGTAAATAGTTATTTCTAAGACAAGAATTATTATCAAAGAGTAAAGTTTTTAATATTATGGTTGAAAAGTGGTCCGAATTATAAAATGCTTGGCATGTATTTGCTTGTAATTGATTTAATAGGAACCCAGTCCTAGTCTAGTCCCCACAGCTTCGAATTTCATATCCTCCCTGGACAGAGATTTCATAAGAAATCCTTTGAGCACGGATGACCAACAAATACTTTATTTATGTGATTCTAAAGAAATCGCGGTCCAAAGAGGATTATTTAATATGCGAGATTTCGGCACCGTTGTTATTGCGCGAATTTGGTAACAATTTGTTATCGTGCTCCGCATATTAAAGCTTTCAAATTACTATCTTGTTTTTTAGAATAACGATGGTACCGAAAGAATCGCAAATTAAATAATCCTCTTTGGACCGCGATTTCTTTAGAATCACATAAATAAAGTATTTGTTGGTCATCCGTGCTCAAAGGATTTCTTATGAAATCTCTGTCCAGGGAGGATATGAAATTCGAAGCTGTGGGGACTAGACTAGGACTGGGTTCCTATTAAATCAATTACAAGCAAATACATGCCAAGCATTTTATAATTCGGACCACTTTTCAACCATAATATTAAAAACTTTACTCTTTGATAATAATTCTTGTCTTAGAAATAACTATTTACAAGCCAAATATATTTTATTGACTCTATTCCTACCCTTCCAGAAATAAATTCTTCAGTTTTTTGTTTGTTTAACACTGTTGCACCACTCTAAAAATTATGAATATTTTATATGAAGTAGATGGTTATAGGACACACAAACTGTAAAAAACTGGTGGTGTTGTCAGACTTGGAAAGTCTTGAACCAATTTTTTGAAAATTTGAATCGCGATTTTTGGTAGCTTATAAGTATGGTAAAAATCCAAAGATTGGCTAACATTCTTAAAGGCTAACACAAAAATTATTGGCATCAAAAAAGTTTTCTCAAGAACCACCAAAGGGAAGATACATCAAGTGATATGTTCTTTAGTTGCGGCAGATTACTCGTAAACCAGCGGATCAAAATATTTGAAAATTGGAATTCTTATCGATTAGGTACCTATCTACCAATTCTCATCTAAAATTTTGCAATATCGCCTGGGGCAGTTTTCCCAGGCTTGTTCCCCTATGCCCTTTTAAACCAATGTACCCCACAGTTCAAGAGTTATTTCAATTCAATCTTTATTTTATTTTAAAAGTTGACAAATAACTCTTATGCTTCAATTTTTATTATAAAAATCAACAAAATTGAAGCATAAGAGTTATTTGTCAACTTTTATAATAAAAATTGAAAAATAAGACTTATTTGTCAATTTTTTTAAAAAAGTAATTCTTACGTGCGATTCCTGGTTTTAGCCCCAATACTGGGATAATAACAGTACGAAACTTACTTTCGCTGTTAACGGTATAGGGTAAAATAAATCATTTTCATAAAATTTTATTTGACTCTTTAGACACTAATCCTTTGATCTACAATGGAGTACATTTGTTGTGTTTTCTTTTGTAACCTCTCTTTTACTATTAAAAATGCTGCTTAGCTCTTTGACGCGGAGGTCCATATTTTTGTAAATTTTTTTATTTTTCTTCCTTGATTTCTAGAATTTCATTATTGCTTAAAAAAAATCGCGTTGTCAAGGTTTTGTTTTGCCGCCCCTTACCGCTACTTAGGTCATTTTGCTCAGTTTGACTGCAATCTAGCTCATCAAACTCTCGCCTACAAATTCGACCATAGGAGCAACCAATACTGCGACTATGACCAATAGTTCTACCCACCTCCAGAAGTCATAAAAAATAAAATAAATACCATGTGTTATCATATAGAACCATCTACTTTTTCCACCCCAAAAGGAATGTTTGAAGTTTTGCTAAATACCACGAATATTGAAGACCAACACAATATTTAGTAAGAGAAACGCGTTGGGCATAAAAATTGACCTTCAGAAAATATTTTTTTCAAAAAATCTCTCGAGCGACCATTGCCTAATAAAGTATCCTGAACAGAATAAGACGATTTTTAGGAATTTGACATTGACGGAAATTGGTTCGTAATTTCTTTAATTGATGGCGCTTTAAGCTCATATTTTTAATGCAGTCCCCTTATGTTCTAAGGAACCTTCAGTTAACACGGCGCGCAATTTAAACGAGCCGTTTGGCCGCTAGGGCCACATATTATTGTTGCCCTTGTACTATTTGAGCCCCCTTCTCCCCTAGTACGCTATGAAAAAAATGTTTAAAAACCAACTGTCCACAAGATCGTCGACGTTTTCTTTGACACCCCTGCAACAGATATGGCATATGAACACAAAATCGGGCTTTAATCAATTGGCTAAAAAAATCAAATTTAAATATATAAATTAATATAAATAATTGCATTTTAAAAATTAGAAATTCATATCGATGACCTGACTCATTTCTTTGACGTTCGTATAAAAAGTAATTTTTTAAATATTCGCAAGATATGTTGATAAAATTGTGTGGTATCCCCGCCTAACCGAAGCAACAATAACTGGCATGTAACAACTGCTATTTAACACCACAGTAACTCATTTTACTATGCGCTCTTAGCCCAACCTATTACCTTCCAACCCTATTACTTTTCTTGCATTTTCTTTAACGTTATTTCTATCTTACCGTTAACTCACTTTAATTCCACATTAATCCCTTTTTTACAGGGATCGCAAATAAGGGTTACCTTTTTAAAAAATTGACAAATAAGTCTTATTTTTCAATTTTTTTTTTTGTACAGATTATTTAGAACACAAAAAAATTTTTCTCAAATCCAGAAAATACAAAAATATATTTTCGGGCTTCGGAATTATGCCGGTTGTTTCTGTGACGCCACGGCCCTTGTGTTGTTGTTTTTTCCTTCTTGTTTGTCATCTTATTTGAATTTCCTTTAATAGAGCACATGGGTAGGTGATGTATATATTAATGTACATGCACTTGTAGTTTCAAATTGGAACTGTAATAATAGCTGAAATGAGTTTACAAATTACAAATTATAAATATAGAAACCCAATATCTTACTATTTTGAGAATAACATCTTGGTCGCGGGAATTGAACGGTTAACCGCTCGCTCACAGTTTGCAGTCAAGCACTCTACTAGCTGCGCCACGTAAGCATCACGTGAGGCGCTGTACAAAGTCTATTCACATTTTGTTCTCCTATTGTTAGTCAAATTGATAATTGTTTATCTTCGTACATTTTTTGTGTTTTTAGAAAAACAATATTTCTATTATGTATAAATATTTATAATTTTAATGGCATTTTTTTTTTATTTTTAGAAAAGTTCAGTCTTTTTTTCTAAAATCAATGGCAATTTTAACCCCCAAATAAAGAAAGGAAGATAAAAAAAAAACCTTGAGAAACCTTTGAGAACAAAATTTTTTTAAAAAAACTCGTTCAATAGAGAATTTTTCTAAAGATTAGAAAATTTTTTCT